GTAATGACAAGAAAAAAATTATAAAGGAAGCATTTAATAAGAACAAGGAATTTAAAAATGGGGTTAAGCAGAATTCACATTGTGAATTTACATAAGTCTCTTTCCATTCATTAGCAGGCTTGATTCCTTTAGGAATCTCTCAGGAGTGTAGCTTCATGTCACCTAGTAGAAGGGGTTTACCTTTAGAGTCATTTTGCTGCAGATTGTAAGCATGGTAAGGGAAAAAAGACTGGGAGGTATTTAATCTGATTAAGGGAAGTACACAGTCCTCTCTGCTTTCTTCAAATTTCTGTTATTTCATTTACTAAGAAAATAATGCTTTCTATTCAGAACTAGCCAGACTGACCATAATAATAACAACAACAGACCATGGTGTTTAAATAATCTAGCTGTGGATTCCATGGCTCCTTACCCAGCAAATAACCTTACCTCTGCACCTGACTGCCCAGGAAGTACCATGGGAAAACAAATACCGATCTTCTTTTATAAAAGCATCATAAAAGGCCGAGATAAACATTTTTGGAAATGTATCCATATGCTGTATCACCCACCGGAAGTGTAAATAGCTGAATTAAAGAGGCAAAGTGTGTTACCTTCTCCCATTGAGCCCATTTATCTGAACTGTGTAGCACTCACAGAGGCCTTAAAAAGCAGAGGACCGTGATGCCTGCAGCCTCCCTCCCTCCAGGGGAACCTGACTTGAGCACGGGCTCTTTGGCAGACAGCTCCTGCTGCAGCCAGATTTGACCACAACTGAATTTCATTCACTTTTCTTCTGGTAGAATCACATGAAACAAACGTCTTGCTCTCATGGGGGATATAATTTTCTACACTCACTAGAAGCCTGTGAGATTGTGCTTCAAGATAACTTCATTTTGAGTTTTAGGACTGTAAAAGAATCCATTAGGAAACAAGCAGCTGCTGGGCTCTGTTGCTCTGCCACAGCTGATGGAAGCTCAGACACTGATGGTGAATTCTGGTCCACATCTTAAATCTAACACTTGAATGTGATGGCCAAACTTGGCAAATTACCCCTCCTCTAATTGATCTTTTCAATAATGAATCCTTCCCACACATATATGCTTACATCCACTTCATTTATAAATTGTGGGGTTTTTTATTCTTACAGTGGGACTATTAAGATTCAGATCAAGTATTAGCACAATCATTGGTTTTACATCAACAGCTGAAAAGCCTTATGAATAACTACAACCAAACTCGCCTAATGGATGCTCTGCATTTTGTTACAGCTTTCTTCCAACTTTATGTATTGTGGCAAAGGAGGTGAAGTTGTAGATCACTTAGAAAATGCTCCTGCTCAATGGACTGGCTAAAATAACACACACAAAGTCACGAAAACCACGATCCAGCAAATCTGCGAGACAAAGTACCAAACACATTCTGGAAAAGTATTAAGGATTTCTAGACATAAAACTAAATATTAAATTTCATACTAATGCAAGCAGAGCCATTTTATGTGCTAAAATACATACCCTATATGTGTATACATGCAACATTAAGCACGTACTATGAATTTCTACAATTATTAGTTTCTCATGATGTATGATAACGTCATATATGAAAGGAGTTATTTCTCACATACTGAATATAATCTCAATTCCAATTTCATTTACTTCAGAGGGGTTGTTAAAGCAAAAGATGGAATCCTATGTTCACATCTATTTCAAAGTAGTCTTTACTATTTCAAAATAGTCTTCAGTCTAAATACATGTTGCTTGTGCAATTTAGTAGTAATACTTTGTCTAATAACATGCCTCACATTTTAAAAATATGCCAAGTATTCCCAACCTTGCATTGAGAATTCCACTCCTGGCTAGTGGTTGGAAGACAAGAGATGTGCCATCAAAAGAAGGGGACACCTACACGTGGCTCTCATGCTACCACCAAAAGTGTGGATTTTGAATCTTGCTGCAGTAAAACTGCTAGTCACCCATCCTGCATTTTCAGGACTTGCACTGCCACTATCCCAAACCAGAAAAAATTTATATGACTACTAAGGGGAAAACATTGAAGAGGACACATGTTCCCTCTGCCCAGCTGAAATGGAAGATTTCTCTCTAGCAATTCTTTGTCTTCAAAAGAAAGAAACAAGACCTCTAAAATAATTATAATAATTTTTCTTGTTTGCTGTCATTAGAACAGGTGTGTTGCCCATTATAAACACACATAAAACACCAAAAGAAAGGGCTAATAATCTTCTGAAGCATGAGGCTGAAGACCAGAGAGTCTCAAGAACACAACTACTTCCTCCTTATGATCCATTTCTGTTCCCTTGTCATCCTGATACAACACGGGAGAACAGCATTGTCTTTGCAGACATTAGGCAAAATGTGCAGAGGCACTGGCAGCATTAACACCTGGGTGAGGTTGTTTTGCAACCTCATCATAATGTTGCACTTCTGTAATCCCTATAGAGACCATAGGTACCAAAGTCAACGTGTCCCTTCCATAGGCTTTGGATGAGAGGCTAAACTCTCATAAAATAATGCATCAAAATATATTTGATACAGAATACCTTTTATGATGCAGGTATTGCCTTTTCTATTGTCTCTAAGAATAACATCAAATTGAAGCTGTGCTGTGAAGAGGGATGGAGAGGATGTCTCAAAGTGAAAGGCTAGTCTATTGAAGATTGCATTTTTCAGCCAGAATGATACAATCCAGTCAAGTTTCAAACTTTGTGGCTCCAAAAGAAAGCCACGTGCTAGAGAGATGTATTTTGCTTTCAACTGCTTGTAGCTGCAAGCCTGTGTCTCTGAAACCATTCTGCACTGATCAGACGAAATATATTGGCAATCCTCTTATTCTGGGCAGAGGACGAGAATTAAACAAACCATCTACCTTGCATCTACCTTGAACATGAGACAGAAAAGTGTACTGAAAATCAATGATAAGAAGTTGCAGCAGAACAGAGCAGTGCACCTTACAGACTACAGCCACAGCACATGGCATGAATGACCTGGCAGTCTGCTTGACTTTGATCCCAGCCCATTCACGCAAAAAACTAGGTACTACAGCACAACAGAAACCCAGCCAGCTAAGCAAGGTAGGTAACAGTTCTAGCGTTGAAGCCTGGAGCAAATTATTCTAATAAGCCACACTAGAATTTAGAGAGTCAAAAATCATGACGCCACTGAAATCAGTGATAAACCTCTTGTCGTCATCCTGGTAGTTTCATTCAGGCTTTTTTTTTTTTTCTTTTTTTTAGGCTCTTTCCTAACTCTGAATTTAGTTGATTGATTTTAGGTCCTTAAATTTGGTGAGGGGGCAAAAAAAAAAATACATCAACCTCCCAATCCTCAGACGTTACTGGAGTTTAACTGCCCAGACAGCTAACAGCAGAGACAAGGATAATTTCAACGGTCTCTAAATTCCAGTTTGTACACTTGTTTATCATTCCAGTTTTTGCAGACTTTCTGTTGTTTTGTCCACTTCCTGTTGTTTTTAAACAATTGTTTTATTGAAACCAAGCAGAAGGATCTAGAAGATGTAGAGTCCCTGGAAGGCCCAGGAGTACATTGCTTTTAAAGGAAACTGAACTGGGTACAGAAAAGAGCTTGAGGCAGCAACAAGTGACATGCCCAAACAAGTACATTCAAGAAATTAATTATTAGTTTTGTAACTATGTAACCTAACGCTCCTAGAAACCTTAGGAGTGAAATAGTGAAAAGTATTCTGAAATCTCTGTGAAATATGAAGGAACATTACAAAAAATGAAGCTACTGTCAAAAAAGAGTGAAGTAAACATTGTATTTATTGACAATTGCTTTCATTGCAGCAGTTGCTAGTACAGAAGTTGTTTCACTCAAGTAAGCATAGTGGTTACTCTCAAGAAATAATTTTATTTTCTCAAAATTAAAATTATCCAAATCTCACTTTACAACTGCAGTAGAGACAGAACTCCAGGCAGTGAGACACAGCGGTAAAAGACCTTCTTTCCTGCCTGATGATGCTATTGTTCTCCTGTAATGTCGTCTTATTTAATAAACAGAAGAGAACTCCAAGCCTGGAGATGTTTTTTGTCAGCTAATGAAAATTCAAGCCAGAAAACAGAATCTTATTTGAGTACACAAAATTAAAAAAAACCTGAGGAAGAACAGCTAAGAACTGCTATAGCCTTAAAGTTTTGCCCACTATTGCATGTGCAACTGTAAGAAGTAAGGGTGTATACACTAAAGTACATGCTTCTTCATAAAGCTAAGCGCTAAATGTTAAACACAGATCATCCAAACCAGATCAAGAGAGGTTTTTTTACTGGTTTCACCTCTAAGTGGCTGCAGAAATAGACTGGTCCTGTAGTAAGTATCTACCTTAGCAAAGTGCCATGGTCTTTTCTACAAATTGGGTCACTTGCCCAACAGCAAATTTCATTTGAAAGACCAGCAGAAATGGTACAGAAGTTTTGTCTACTGTGTGTGAAGACCAGAAGAGGGCAAGCAACAAAGCTACTTCTGTATGACAGAGTATTTGTGGATAAAGCATGGGAGAAGCTGGTGCTGCTTGTCATCAACACAAGGTCATATGGTAGTATCAATAAAGAGGAGTCTTTCCATCTTCAGTAACTGATAGGAGGGCTGCATTCAGTTCAAAGCATGCTGCATTTCAGCACAGAGCATTTGAACCACTCAAATCCAAGACTGCCTTTTCAGCAGCTTGGAGCTAGACAACTGGTAACAGCAATATGTTTGCTGATCTTGGATGCTATCTAGCAGAGGTGGGTCATAAGCCAAATTCTTGTGGACATTCAGGGCTAGAATGGAGTTGTATGGTTTGTTCCCTTTCCCAGCAGGGCTTCAGGAACTGAAACCACGGTACTGACATTAGAAGCTTTGCAAACAGGTGCAAACATCACATCTTGGTGTTAGCTATAGCTTTTGACCCTCAGGCATTCAACAAAACTAGATTAGAAAGAGGGCAGTTCAGAGAAATTTATACGGTGTTAATGGAATGAAAGAAGTTCTGTTAAATTCCAGATAATGCTACATGCGTCCCCACTCTTTATTTCTTAATTCATTCCTCTTGATCTTCCCAGTGACTGTCTTTGGCAGCTCTTGGACAAATTCCACCTGAATAAAAAAACACAGAAAACAACATTGCATGTTCTACAGACTTGGTTTTCTAAGACTGTCTCTCAGCATATGTGGAAAAGTAAGAGGACTTCCATCAGTGAAAACCGCTTGCTTAAAGGATGAAGCCATATCAAGGCAGCATATTGTCTTTAATGGTCCTTAGTTCTTGTGAGTTCTGCACAAGTGAACTGAAGCACTGCTAGTGGCTCTCTTCCTGTAGTGCTGGGACTACTGAGAAACACCAAGTGTATCCTCCTGAGCTTTCCTCTTATTTATTAACTGTGAGGACCAGTAGATAAAAACTTACTCAGATTCAGTCAGGTACTACCCTAAAGTCACCAGAGAGTGCTTGGTTGAAAATTAAATACAAATGGAGAATTACAATTGCAAGCCTGACTTAGAACATGCAGATCTAACTAGGATATCATACGAAGCCTAGAAATTTGAAAGGTTTAAGCAAACACTCAAAAATGAAAAACAATGTAATCTAATGTTATTTAGGAAAGATCTTCTGGAGCTGAATGAAGTCCTCTAGCTGAATCTTTACCACTGTCTCTTTCAGGTGAATCATGAAAAGCCAAATAGTAATTCTCCTGAGATTTATGGAACGGTGCCCTGGTTTAAAGTTTCTCTGCAGAAGCATTTACCTTTCTAGGGTATTTATATGGAGCAGTAGTTTTCTTGACATGTTCCTGCAAGTCACAGGTTAAACTCTCCAGGTCACTGGATAAAAAGGATGGGGACAGGACCACAAATGCTTTCACAACCTGTAAGATAAGGTCAACAAAAGTGATCTGACATCATCCATTTTTAAGAGCTGATACACAGGTTACCAGTGAGCAGTACTGCTCAGTCATGACATGGAAAAGGAAGGAACAGAGAAACCAGCACAATGTAAGAAATGGTTGTGCCCAGTTTCTGCACATGTGTGTGCAGAAGTAGAAGCAGAATGCACAGTTTTCCTGGCCTCATTACAAAGCAAGAGCATTTGCTCTATTCTCTCAGAAGGGGTCTAGAAGGAGTAATAAGAGGTGTCTCTGCAGAGTTCTCCCTGAAGCCGAGAGACATTTTGTTTCTCTCCAAAGTTAACACTGAGGACAGTAGGCCCCTATCATCTCACCACAGGACTGTGCTTTCTCCATACATGTAGTCCAAGCCTAATGCTAGGAGACTTATACTGTAACTTTGGCTACACCAAGACAGCCAAAAAAGACAATTTCAGTGTATACACAAGAGCTTAACAACAAGAAGGTGTGGTAAGGGGAAAGTAAACATCACTTATGTTCTCCACAGAGAAGACCCTCTTGGGATGAAAAGAAACTAAGAAAAGCAAAGGCATGTAAATAGCAAAGGATTATCCATGATGACATGACTGCCTGAGAGCTGCACGTTATTATTCAGTAAACTATGAACTGCTTTATATAGTTATATAGTTAAACAAACATATTGCTTCCCCCACCACTGTTCAGCATCATTACCTCTCCTCTGAGGGGATCTGGGCTGCTGACAACAGCTGTTTCTACCACTGCTGGGTGCTCTATCAGGGCACTCTCTACTTCAAATGGCCCAATGCGATACCTAGGTAAGGCAAGAAAAACGTAAGATTTGGTTTTATGAGCCGGAAAACCAGTATCAAATGTTTTTTTAATTGTCATATTGAAAAAAAACCAAAACAAACCCACAAAACAAACCAACAACCAACTATAGAAACTTTAGGCAGAATGGGAAAGTTGTTAGACGGTAGGAGCATTTCACGGTGGTCGTGCAGTAGAGGACTGTTGGAGCAGTGGATACCCCTCCCTCTGTCCCCTTCCCTTGTGGGTCCTAAGCTGGGGCTCCAACCCACCCTGATAGCTGGGGTCTGTAGTACCAGCTGATGCCACGTTATGGTATCACATCATACAATATCAAATTGTTTAATTTTAACATGTTGAAAATAAAATGTTTCAATGCTCTTTGCGTCTGATAGAGATGTCCTTCAATTTTAGTCAAAAAATAAACTATGTTGCAGGAGAAATGGATACAGAGATGCCACTAACATCACCAAGATGATACTGCAGGTCTATGAAAAGCTTATAATAAGATCAAGTATTCCTAAGTCAAGAGGTCAATACATTCATGACAGGACTATCATGTCAGAAGCTCACCAGGAACACAACATGTAAGATTATACAATGGCAGATTTAGAAAGGAAGAGTGTAAACTGACCCTGAAGAAATGATGATGTCATCATCTCTTCCAATAAACTGAAAATATCCATCTTCATCCATCGTCCCTCTATCTCCAGTGACATAAAAATCCCCACGTTCACTTTCTGCGGTTTTCTTAGGGTTATCCTGAAAGTTGTTTAGATTTTGAGCATGCATTAGCTATACATTAAGCTGTAACACAAATAATGTTAAATCCACTGGAACTTAATTTTTCAGTCAAGGATGTTCAAGAATTGTACTGACATTGCTAGAAAATACAATAAAATAGGTTTTAAAAATTAAAACATTTTGATTCTTTAAAAAAAAAAATTAACTCAATCTTGAGCAAATTCTTCTCTTCCCTTTTCTAACATCCACCAATGCAAATTACTCTGGTAATAAATAATAAACCGGTGAAAATATTCAGCCTTTTGAACCACTATGCAATTGGAGAGATTTTGCGGAGATTGGTGGTGGTGAGCAATAAAATAAAGTCCTTACTACATATTCAGAGAATAAACCAAGTGGTCTTATAGGTTTACTTCTGACAGCAATTTCCCCCTGTTGTCCTGGAGGCAGAATATTAGCATTTTTGTCTATGATCTAGAATGAAAAACAACACATATTTTAGTCCAATGGGAAAAAAAAACCCAAACCCAACAAAACAAAAAACCCTCTGAAGGAATCTAAAGAGCAGCCAACAAACCTGAACTTCATAAAGGGGAGCTGCCTTTCCCATTGATCCAGGTTTAATCTTCATTCCTTTAAAAACAGAGCAGATTATTCCCTGTAAAAATCAAAAGCAAAACAAAATTTTGCAATAGAAAACTGCTACATTCACATTCAGTTCATTAAATGTATTTTCCAAAGTACCAAATTAAGATTCATAGGTTCCTATATGTCAGTTCTGTATGATACATATAAGCAAAATCAAGAAACTCCCTGACAGAATCGTCTTCCGTTATCTGCAAAGAATTCATGCCCTCTGCTAACCAGTCTTCTTCCTTAGGTTCAAGCTCTGCCCTCTTGACTGTCACTTGGAATTTGCTTAAGGACATTTATGGAAATAGTAGAGCACATCTCCTTCCAACAATCCATGTTTCTGGCAGGTTCTGCGAGGAAAGCCATGAAAGGGTGTTCTTTCAGAGGTTATCAGGGGACGAGATTACTGAAACATTCACAGAAACGTGAAGGAAGAAACAGGCTGTGTTCTCTGAAAACAAACATTAAAACATCATAAAGCAAAAAGGAATTACAAAGATTTAACAGAATATTGACCCTACAGATGTACCGTTTCAGTCTGGCCATATACTTCATGAATGTCCAGCCCAGTCTTGCTTTTCCACTGCTCCATGACTTCTGGATTGAGTGGCTCCCCTCCACTCATGCAGTGCTTCAGGTTCATGAATTTGTAGCTTCACAGGGAGTTAAAAAACAAGAGAGGCAGCACTTAAATCTATTGGGCAAGACAAGGAGCATGCACTATAAACAAGTAACACTGGAGAGCTGTTTACTAGGAGAGTTACTCCCATGAAGCGGGGAAATCGGAGGATTCCTGATCCAGCAAGGATATCAGTCTGTGCTCAATGATATGCATATGAGGAAGAGTAGTCAGAGTTAAACACACATGAAAAATAAAGTAAAATTTTTGCTGAAGTCAGCTGGGATTTATATGACTTATGACTACACAAAGCGCAATTTACTGAGCCAGGGCCCTGGTTGCCGACTCTCTGCAACATCCCAAGTGAGAAAGTGCGAGAGGGAAGGAAGGACCAGTGGCAGGCAATAAGAACTGGAGCAGGGGATGATGTACAACTGCCACAAGTCACTCCCTCACAGTTATGTTGACACTGACTTTCTAGGATGACAGTCCCTCCCAAAGCATAGACGATTAATGTGGCAATTGAAAATTATGATAAAGAATTCAACAGGCTCTCAGTTTCATTTGCTTTTGGTGATGAGCAGTGTCCTTCAGGGGTCCATATTGGGACCAG